AGAGATTGCTGGAAAGGACAAGAAGTTTCAAAAGGGGGGCGTTGTGTCACGAGAGTCATGGGTGATCGCTGGGGAAGAAAGTTAAATGATCTGAACTGAAACCTACGACTTGTGTGGAACCATGAATGGGAAATGGGAAGACCCCGGGCGGGGGGAAATAGAAAAATTGGGGGGAAAACAGGCTCCCCCCCCATTTTTTCTCAAAATGATTCCCCCCCCAGGAAAAATTTGGGGGGAAATGGAGTGTGGAATATGTCCTTTTACTTTATGTGTCTAAGTTCTCTTTAGCGATAGAACATTTCTGGAAATTTTCATTTATTTCCCCTTGTTTGTTTGTTTGTTTGTTTTCCCCCAAAGAAAAAAAAATTAGAATTTTTCAGAAATTCTGCATCTCTAATCACAAGGCTAGGCAGTAATAGCAATAAGCCCTTTTATCCCTTGACACTTCGGCTGCTTCGCTCCCCCAAATTTAATCCCGTCCATCCATCTAATCCTCCTGTGGATTGTTTCGGGGGCCCCGGTGCACTCTTGTAATCATCCTTCCCAAAAGAGAGAGAGAGAGAGCACAGAAGGAAAGAAAGTGAGAGGACGCATCACAAAGCCAAGAATAACAGAGCCGAGCCCTACCATGCTAGAATGTGAAATAATAATAGATTTCTAAGAAAGCAAGGTCAGGCGGCTCTTAGCCAATGCAGGAACTTTCTGGGCCAATTTCGTAGCCGCCTTGATCCTCGGACTTCAGGAATGCCATTGGAGAGCCTTCAGTGGTAAATTCAGGTCTTCTTGTAAGCCTGCCGGGCTACAGCCACCGGTGTTTCCTTGTAAAATCTAAGGAAATACAGAGACGCCTACGTGGGTCTCCCTATGGCCTCGGAGGCTGCCTTAGCAGGAGGCTGAGCGCTGTTTCCAGAACCCAGGACCTCAAGTCATCTCAGCTAGAGGAGGTAGAACAACCCGTACGATGTTGAATCTCAGGCAGCTGGAAGCTGGTGGCTATGCAGGGGAACGAGACAGTCTGGCAAGCCTTTCGAAGCATCTCCTGCCTTTCCGGGTGGCTACGGAGGGAATTCGTCTCCGGAACCCAGGCCTGGCGCTGCAGCCGAGTGGGCTGGCCTGAGCCTCAGAAGATCCGTGGCTGTGTTTTAATTCATCCTCTCTCTCTGTTTTCCTCCTCTCCCCAGTCCAATGTGGCCGCGTCAAATGCCAAGCTGGCCTTGTTTTACGACTGGCTTTTCTTCAGCCCCGAGAAGGACAGTATCATGAACATCGGTATGGCAACTTTTGTTCCTTCCTTCGTTCCTTCCTCCCTCACTCTTTCTTTCTTCAAGATAACAGGAACGTCTTTTCCCCCCACTCCAGAACCTGCCATCTTGGTCATGCATCATTCCATGAAACCCCACCCGGCCATCACCGCCACCCTTCTGGACTTCATGTGTCGGGTAAGACTTCCGGGGTGGGGTGGGTGGGATGCCCTGGTGTCGTCCCAGTGGGTCGGTGGGCAATCTGCTTTCGTCTCCCAGTCTCGGAGGCCTGGAGCCAATAGTTCAGCCATTCTGAACCAACGAAATCATAAAAGCAGGCTCCTCTCTCTCTCTCTCTCTCTCTCCGTAAAAGCAGGCTCCTCTCTCTCTCTCTCATACTCCTCTTTTCCATTTCAGATCGTCCCGAATTTTTACCCCGCTCTGGAGACCATTTCAGATTGTCCCGAATTTTTACCCCGCTCTGGAGACTCACGTGCGGCAGGGCGTCTTCAACTCCCTCACCCACATTGTAGAGAAACGAGTCTTGGCGTAAGGGATTTACAGGCCTTTCCTTCTTCCCCTTTCCTTTCTTCCAGCCACTGGTTCCCCTCCGGCTTCGTGAATACACACTCTCAGCGAGGAGTCTATGCTGGAAACGTCTTTTCACTTTCTGATGGCCTATGGTTGCTACTCTTCTCTAGGGGAGATGCTGGCCAAACTCAGGATGTCATTCCCCCTTCCAGAAATGCTTTTGCTCCCAGAACTCTGGCCAGCTGCCCAATAAGCCATCCTGCCGGTCCCTGGCTAAGCGGCACGCAGAACTCAGAAGCCTTTCCAGCTGCCTCTTGGAGGCCAAGTATCTCCCCTGACCTGAAAAAGCTACAGTTTAAGAAAATCATAAATGTGTGTGGGGCCGTCCCCCCATCTCCCCGATAGATAAAAAGCAAGCTTTCCCGCCAGCAACACAACCCTTCGCAGATCAGAATAGAGGTTCCCTTGACATTTGGGACTCCAGTTCCCACAATCCTGTAGCCCACACTCACAGGGACTTCTGGGAGTTGAAGTCCGAAAATCGGGAATGTTGAGAACTGCTGGACGAGAGTTCACGGCCTTAGAGAAACACGGTCATCATCCACCTGTGTGTTTATCCTGTCTCTTTTCCTTCTCCGCAGGCACCTCGCTCCTCTCTTCGACAATCCCAAGCTGGACAAGGAGCTCAGAGCCATACTAAGAGAGAAATTCCCAGAGTTCTGCAGTTCGCCTTCCCCTCCCGTAGAAGGTAAAGCTCTCAACCTAGGTCGTCCGGGGCATGGAGGTGGAGACCGGCTAGGCCTCCTTGCTTTGGCCCGCGAGGTGGCTTATAGGGGGCGGCTCAGAAGTAGCCCGACCTTCCAAAGGTGTGAGAACCTTAGCTGGGCCAGTGGAGGTCACTCACATGAGGCCCAAACAACCCCCTTCAGCGAGACTGCCTCCTCTCTCTCGGTCCACCTCCATCCAGGTGGTCCATGTAGCACCAGGTGAGGATGATGGCCCACCACAAGAGCCATCCCAGTTTTGGCCTTGGCTCGCAGGAGGAAAGCTCCCGGCGAGCTCGTTCCTTCTTCCTCTCTGCATTTCCACTCCCCCTCCCCCTTGCTCCTTGCAGTCAAAATCGAGGAGCCCATTGCCATGGAGATGGACAATCACACGTCGGACAAAGAGGACAGCTGCTACGACCACGCGGAGGCGGCGTTCAGTGATGATGATGAAGAGGACCTCAACAGCAAAGGTGAAGAGTCTGAGAGCGTTGCTGGCCCAGAGAGACACGAGATTGCTCTTGGCCTGTTTTTCATGCTTAACTATGGTTAGTTATAACTGTTTAACCATGGTTAGCTGTAACTGTTGACCCTTGGTTGGCTTGTGTTTTGGGCACCTGTTTTTGGTGCTTTTAACCAATGTTAGTTCAGACCATTCAACCACAGTTAGCCCTATCTGCTTCGCCACCATTAGCGCTAACTGTTTAACTATGGTTAGCTCCAACCTTTTAACCATGGTTACCTCTAATTGTTTAACCATGGTTAGCTTGTGTCTTTGATGTTTGTTTTAGCACTTAACCAGGGTTAGATGTAGCTGTTTAACCATGGTTAGATCTAACCGTCTAACCACAGTTTAACCAGGGTTAGAGCTAATCATGGTTTGACTTTTTTTTTAATGATCCCCAAACCTAACTAAGTCCTTTTTGGGACCACAGGGTTTTTTAGAAAGCTTACCAGTGAAAAACAACACCGTGGACAGAATTAACGTTCTTTCTGTAGCGTTAACAAGGAACACGTCATAATTGCTTTTATAAGTTACTTTCAAAGAACTAACTTTCCAAGTTCTGCCTGGTGGAACCTGCTGAATGCAGGCTGTTTTCTAAAAGGTATATTTTAGGGTGACTCCTCCCCCCCCCTCCGGTGTGTGTTTGCTTTTGGTCTCTGAATCTGTTCCGGTTGGTTTTCCTCCCTTTCGCTGCAGGGAAAAAGAGGGAATTCCGGTTCCATCCGATCAAGGAGGCCGTATTGGAAGAGCCGGTGGACATCACGCCCTTCCTGGACCAACTGGATGAGTCCTTGAAGGATAAAGTCCTTCTGCTGCAGAAGGGAAGGTTGGTATGGTTTCCCACCAGGGGAACTCCGGAGAGGCCTCTACCGCGAGAAGCATTTCAGGAGAGGCCTCTACCGCAAAAGGCATCTCAAAAAAAAAATTGCCTTTTCTCCCCATGAGTATTCATACCCTGCTTTCTTTCACTGCCCCTTTTGCCAGGATGGGACGAAATGTTGTGTTTTAAAGTCCCAAGCTTTATTTTCTCCCCACGTGGCTGGGCCCGTCTCTGCCATTCTCCCCTGTCTCTCCTCGTTCCGGTCTTCCCGCCACCCGTTCCGGCGTTTTTTAAATTTTCTTTTTCAATGGCTGTCTGGATCCCTTCCTTGCCACCGGACGCCTGTGCTAGGGGTACGTTCTTTAGCTCTTTAGTGTCACGACAGCCCTGCGAAGTGGGCCTTTCCAGGAGAAGAGGTGTGATCAGGAACTCCCAGGGGAGCGGCGTGCTTGGGTATGGCGAAGAGGGGGAGCGTGTTTGGACCCTAAGATAATACTGCCAGTCTCCAGGGGAGTGGGGGAGAAACCCAGTGCCAGAGTGGGGAGGGCGCATGGAGAAAGGGTGCTCGTTTTTTTTGCTTAGAAGAGGTCGGATCTGGAACCTTTGAAAATAGCTTATTTTTTGGGGGGGGGGGTGTTACAGAGTCCCAAAGAGAATCACAACTACGCCAGCTTGGGGGGGGGGGATGGTGGGATCTATGATGCAACGAGCAAAGTGGTCGTAAGGCCTGGCTGGATCCTTCCTTTTTTCCGACGCCTTCCTGGCTGGCCTGCATCTTAGGAATTTCCCCGGGAAAGGGTCCCCTCGGGGTGCTTCTCACCCTTCCTACGAATAAGAAAACAAAATAACGAATAGATAAAATAAAAGCGTGGTCCAGGTTTTTTTGCCAGCAGGAGACAACCCTCCCCCCCCTCAAAAAAAAAGGCTTCTGGAAGTGCGCAAGACTACAGAGGCCTTTCGGAGGGGGGCTTCTTGCCTCCCCTCCCTCCCTGCTGCTTTCCTTTCTTGCCTTCTTAATATGGATTTCCTCTTTTTTTCCCCCTCTCCTTTCTCTGCAGCGATACTGAAGCCCAGTGTGAGGTCATGCAGGAAATTGTGGACCAGGTTCTGGAGGTAATGCGGCCGAGTCCCCGAAACGCTTGATGCCCGGCTCCTGGCCGAGAGAGAGAGAGGGATGCTCGCTCAGTGGGCTTTGCAGGAAGCATGCTGACCCTTTCCAGCAAGGATGGGCCAAGCGAAGCCAGTCAGACACATACGACCCCTGGGGGGACCCTAAACATGTGCACCCGTCCCCCACCGAGTGTGTCCCCTCTTCTACCGGTTTAACATTTCCCTGGCCGGCTTTCGGAAGGAGGGAGTCCCTTTCGGCAAACCTCCAGCCGAAATGGGGCAAATCTGGGTTTCCGGGACTTCCAGAACCTCTCTCCTTTTGAGCCTCGTTGGAAGTTGGGAATTGCAACATCTGGATTGCTAAAGATCGCTCCCTGGACCCCAGGATCTCTGGGCTGACATTTAAGGATGCCAAAGCGGGAGGGGATGGAGGGAACCGAGCAGATGTGGCCCAGGAGCCGGCCACCCACTTCTCCCTTGTCTGTCTTTTTCCCTTCCCTAAAATTCCGCTGGAAGACCCGTTTTAATTAAGAGAAGGCCTACAAGCTTTTAACTGGAAGATAAATCAACGCGGACGTGAATTTGGTCAATCACCAACAGCCGCTTTTCGTTTGAGCGTGCCGATGGACGGTCACCCTGCCTCTTTTCATTTTCCTGTAGCAGTTTTCACGCCAGCCCTGTTTTTTCCAAAAATAAAAGCAAAACTCCCCCAAAATGGTGGGAGTGGCAGTGTGTTTCCTGGGAACTACAACTCCCATCATGTGAGCTTGGGGATTCTGGGAGCTATAGTCCCCCAAGGAGCTGCGTTTCCCGTGCATTCGCTCCCTCAATGTGTTGCCTTTCTCAGCACACAATCCCACATTGTATTCTTTTTCCTACCCCCAAAAACACCTTCTGCAGGAGGATTTTGACCAGGAGCAGCTGTCGGTCCTCGCGTCCTGCCTGCAGGAGCTTTTCAAGGCCCACTTCCGCGGGGAGGTCCTGCCGGAAGAAATCACGGAAGAGTAAGTGTGGTTGGGAAGAGGACGGTGGGGATCCGCCTCGCCTCGTTCCTGGCTGTTTCAGGGTCTCCCCTTCTCTGGAAAGGGGCCTGAGTGGATTTCTTACATCGAAGGAATTGCAGCTGTTCTGTGCTATTATTTCCAATTTTGAGTGTCCCCGAGAGAGCTTTTGAGGCAGCTGTGACTCGAGGAGCCGTTTCCCGCCTCTGCCCCGGTGATTTTTCCCTAGCCAGGCAGAGATTCGAACTCAGGTCTCTGGGGTCCTAGTCTGACGCTGTTCCCATGGTTGTGGGCTGAGATCGTGGGGACGAGAAGAGGCTTTCTTTGCCGAGGCGGGCCTGGCCTGGCCATCCAAGTGATGCTGGGTTCCAGATTCCACGCTGGAGGTGGTGGGGATGATGAGCCTTGTAGTCCCAAAGCAAGTCCCAAGCTCTTACTCCAATCCCCTGATTTAATTTTTTTTCTCACCGTCTTTTCTGTTTTCAGGTCTCTGGAGGAGTCGGTGGGGAAGCCGCTTTACCTAATATTTAGGTAGGTCCTGTGCTTTCTCACAGCCCCCCCCCCCGGTGGTCCCTGGAGCCAGGGGGAGGGAAGTCCTCTCCGCTGGTTGACCCCCAGCCCGCCAGGAAGAAGGGGCTGGGGAGGGCGAAACCGGCTGGAGCGTGGTGGCCGAGAGGAAAGGGTGTGGGTGTCAAATCCGCTGGGGGTTGTGCCTGCGTTTCATCCCCCCCCGCCCTCTCTCTGCCTCCATCCCCTTTCCAGAAACCTTTGCCAGATGCAAGAGGAGAACAGCAGCTTCTCGGTGTTGCTCGACCTCTTATCCGAGCTGTACCAGAAGCAGCCGAAGATCGGCTACCACCTCCTCTACTATCTAAAAGCCAGGTGAGGTCAAAAGGAGCCCAGAGCGGCTTTGTGGGGGGGGGGGGATTGGGAGCCAGCTGCCCGCCCTTCTTTCGGCCCTCTTTTCGGACGCCCTCCTTGGGTTGGACCCAGCATCCCTCCGCCCTGGGCTGGGGCTGATGGGAGCTGTCGTTCGGCTCTTCGGCTCACCCGACCTTCCCTTTTGAAGCAAAGCGGCGGCTGGGAAGATGAACCTCTACGAGTCCTTCGCCCAAGCCACGCAGCTGGGGGACCTGCACACCTGCCTGATGATGGACATGAAGGCCTGCCAGGAGGATGATGTCCGGCTCCTTTGCTACCTCACGCCTTCCATATACACCGAGGTGAGGCCCAGAAAGAGGAGTGATTGGAGCCTCTGTGTGTGTGTGTGTGTGAGAGAGAGAGAGAGAGAGTCCAGACTTTCTTGGCCGTGTCGTGTAGTCCAGCCACATCTGGCGGGGGCTGTAATGTACCCAGCAGTGCATGAACGTCGCCTCTTTGGAGGCTGAGAAGACTAGCACGCCAAGAGGGCAAATGACGTGAAGCCACACTGTAGCCATAAGCTTGCAGGAGGTCCCGAGGGCTGCGCCGGTAGCTTTTGCCTCTTTCTGGCCTCCCTCCCTGTGTCCTCTTTCCAGAAACATTTCTTTCCCTTCCCGGCCTCCTCTGTGTGCTTTTCTCCGATGCCTTCTGAGCGATCCCATATGGCTCGCAAATCCGGAGTCCTCCCTGGATGTGGCCAGGCTCCGGGGAGGCGGACGTGACCTCTCTTCCAAGCCGGGAGATTTCAGGAGACGTTGGGCAGCTTCCCTCGCTCTTGGGGCCTTGCCGTGTGTGCGTGTGTGTGTGTGTGTGTGGATGGAGTGGGGTTGCATTTTGCAGGAGTCCTTTTGGCCCTGGCGTTTCGCACGCCTTCCTCTTTGGCCCGACTGTTCGGGTGTGGGAATCTCTATCACCTGTTCAGAGGAGGGGGCAGGATCTGTTCTCCACCCTCCCCAGGGGCGGGCCACATAATGATGGGCTCAAAATACCCAGAAACCAGATTTAGGCTGAAGATCAGGAAAAACTTCTCAACTGTTAGAGCGGTACGACAATGGAAACAGCGGCCGCGGAGGGCGGTGAGCGCTCCGGCGCTGGAGAGGCCTTCAAGAGAAAACTTGGACCAACCGCCTGTCCAATCTGTTTTGATTTGGGTTCTTGCCTCGAGCAGGGGATGTGTGTGGACCGGATGGCCTTCGAGGCCCCTTGACGCTCCATCATTAGTTGATTTTATGATTCTACGAAGCCAGGGTAGCCGATTCCTGGCTAGCAGGCCCACCTCCGAGGCTCAAGCCCGAAATCCAGGGGGCACCTGCGAGAGGGCAGCCTCCGAAACCCTGGGAGGGGGAGACCCCCAAGCTGCCATGGGGCAGGAAAAAAACCCAACAGAATCCTGATTCTGGCAAATTGAATTTTTGGCGCGTTTTGTGTCCCTCGCATCCCTGCCCCCCCCATGAAGGTACGGAAGAGGGAATCTAGCAATTCCGGGCGCACTGCCGTCTCGCCTCCCTCTCCGTGAAGCCCGAAATTATCCGCAGAAAGAACCTGCATAGCTTGCGAAGGGAGGGAGCCCCAAAGCGCCAGGATTTCAGTGTGAGCCAGGGCTGGTGTTTATTATATTCGCTGTTAACGGGCGTGCTTCTCATTTGGCGCGCCGTAGCGGGGTACCAGATGTTCCCTGTGCTTTTGGCCGCGGGAACCACCAAGGAACAAATTGGAGCTGGCTTTGGATCCTGTTCTTTTCTCTGTTTCGCCGTCAGGGAGCGTTAGGGGAGCCAGCTGGCTCCCTTCCGACCAGCCAGCCACGCTGGTCCTCTGGCTCCCCCTGCCGGACATAAGGGGCGGGCTAAGATCACCCCCATCCAAGCGATCACATCTCTACCGGGAAGGAGATGGTGTTTCTTTCTGCTTTTCTGAGCATGCTTCAGGATTTGAACTCGTAGCCCGTTGTTCCAAGGCTCGGTGGAAGATGCTACGGGCCGTATGTGGTGCGTGCGTGCAGGATCAACGAGAGCTTAGTGCCAGATATTGGGTCTTTCTTTGCTTATGCATCCTTTGAGTTAAGATCTATTAGATGCCACCCATTAACCCACTTAGTAAGGTTTTCCGGGTTGGGGAGACCTTTAAGGAGTGGTTTTTACCAGTTTCGCCTTCCAGGTTATTTATTTAAAATATTTTTATCCCGCCTTTCTTTTAAAAAAGAACTCCGTGCGTCTCTGTGGGTTCTGCGGGGATTCGAACCCAGGCCTCGTGAGACCAAGGGTATGTCACCGTATCCACCTTGGGTGACTTGCCTTCTTTGAGTAGTGGGATAAATAAAGGAAACTTTGTCCAAGGCTTTATAAATCTCAGAAGGCCAGGAATGTATGCGGCCAATAAAATAGTCAGTAAACTCTCCATTAGCCCAGGAAGGCAAAGGACGGAGGGGGTGGAAGAAAGGAATAGAAAACAGGTAAACAAGTCCCGTTAGCTACCTCCTGGCGGAAAGACACGCATAAATAAAATTCTTTTTATCAGACCAGTACGAATGCAGATGCTTGGCGGGTCCCACATAATTCATGGCGATGCACAATAAAAAAATATCTTTTTTGTTGTTCTGTTCAGCAACATGACAGCAATAGGTCCCCGAGACCGCTTGAAAGGCCAACACAAGTTTGTGATGGTGGGGTGGGGTGTGTGGTTTTTGTGTGTATGCGTGCGTGCGTGCGTGTGTGCGTGCGCTCACGTTGTGCGTGCATCCTGGTTTTTTTAAACAGATTGTTTGTATAACATTTCCCTGGAAGTAGAAATCTAATTCCTCTGCCAGGTGAAGAAGGAAGCGAAGCCTCCTTTCCCTTATTGACTAGGTTTCTACATGTGAGGGAGTGGATTTTAAACAAATAGCCCCCTGTGGTGGAAATAGCCAAAGAAAGGGTGCCGGGCTGACATGAAGTAATCCCTTAGATCCTTTCTGAAAACGGGATCTGCTGGTTACGTGTAAACCCGGCTGACACGGGGCCAGAACTTTGCATTCCTGCTCCGAGTGGCTGGGGGCGTCCCTCCATCGAGGGACGTGCGTGCGTGTGTGTGTGTGTCCTTAACGCCTTCCTCTAAATGCCTGCCCTCTCCGCCTCAGTTTCCAGACGAAACCCTGCGGAGTGGGGAGCTTTTGAACATGATCGTGGCCGTCATCGACTCCGCTCAGGTAAGACCCACCTGCGGGGAAGAGGGAGAGAAAATCCTCTTTCTGGGTCGGGATTAGCCTGCGTTTACGAAGCCGATCCCTGAGCCTGGCTTTTGCCCGAAGCTCACGGCGTCATCGTCGTCATCCTCTCGAAACGACCGAGCTGGAAAGGGACCTTAGAGATCATCCGGTC